TTACAGCACCTGGTATTCCCAAGTGGTCACCCATCTAGGTACTGTCCAGGCTCGACGTTGCTTAACTTTGGTGATCGTACAAAAACCAGGGTTTCATCGAGATATGGCCGTAAGCCCATTATCCAATCCGCACAGTCACGTTTACAGCACCTGGTATTCCCAAGTGGTCACCCATCTGGGTACTGTCCAGGCTCGACGTTGCTTAACTTTGGTGATCGTACAAAACCAGGGTTTTCATCGTAAGCCCATTATCCAATCCGCACAGTCACGTTTACAGCACCTGGTATTAAGTGGTCACCCCATTAGGCTCAATCCAGGGCATTATCAATCACGTTTACAGCACCTGGTATTCCCAAGTGGTCACCCATCTAGGTACTGTCCAGGCTCGACGTTGCTTAACTTTGGTGATCGTACAAAACCAGGGTTTCATCGAGATATGGCCGTAAGCCCATTATCAATCCGCACAGCCACGTTTACAGCACCTGGTATTCCCAAGTGGTCACCCATCTAGGTACTGTCCAGGCTCGACGTTGCTTAACTTTGGTGATCGTACAAAAACCAGGGTTTCATCGAGATATGGCCGTAAGCCCATTATCAATCCGCACAGCCACGTTTACAGCACCTGGTATTCCCAAGTGGTCTACAAAAACCAGGGTTTCATCGAGATATGGCCGTAATATCAATCCGCACAGGTTTACCTGTCCAGGCTCGACGTTGCTTAACTTTGGTGATCGTACAAAAACCAGGGTTTCATCGAGATATGGCCGTAAGCCCATTATCCAATCCGCACAGTCACGTTTACAGCACCTGGTATTCCCAAGTGGTCACCCATCTAGGTACTGTCCAGGCTCGACGTTGCTTAACTTTGGTGATCGTACAAAAACCAGGGTTTCATCGAGATATGGCCGTAAGCCCATTATCCAATCCGCACAGTCACGTTTACAGCACCTGGTATTCCCAAGTGGTCACCCAGCTATGTAATGATCAGATTCGACGTTGCTTAACTTCGGTGATCGTACAAAACCAGGGTTTCATCGAGATATGGCCGTAAGCCCATTATCAATCCGCAGATCACGTTTACAGCACCTGGTATTCCCAAGTGCAGCCCTGGTATTCGACCAACTTTGGTGATCGTACAAAACCGGGTTTCATCGAGATATGGCCGTAAGCCCATCAATCTAACACAGTGTTTACATGATGGTCATTCCTCTCTGTCCAGGCTCGACGTTGCTTAACTTTGGTATTCCGGGTTTCATCCGGCCGTAACCCATTATCAATGTTTCGCACCTAATTCCCAAGTGGTCACCCAGCTATGTAATGATCAATTCGACGTTTTAACTTCGGTGATCCGAATCAGTGTTTAAAGATAAATGCATTCTTCAGCTAACCACATAAAACAGCAAATTATGTTTGTCAAAACCTAAAATTTGGTTACGCCAAAAATATTCCTTGGAAATAACTACAGCAGACATCGCTAAAGGCAAGACAAGATGCCCTAGAAAATTAGTCATCCACAATAACACCGGCTTTGGCATGAAATGGTCCCCCAAATGGTCTGATATGCCGTTAGCCATAAACAAATAAACAGGTATGAATTCATCTCCCCACACCAGTTAAATAATAGTATTGTATCTGGAAATAATACTGTTATTTTCCCCAAAATCGTTAAAGCAATAGTTACGGACAAAAAAATAAAAATGAAAAACGAAACAATTATTCTTGGAATAAAAAAAATATATTAGGATTTAAATATCTTACAAAGGGTTGATAAGCCGTAAAATTCATATCAAATAAAAACATTTCGTCATCTTCTACCTTGTGTGGCTCTTAGGGCTTGTACTGGCTGAACAATAGTATAAAAAATCCTTAGCTGATGAAGGGAATAAAAATATAGAGGGATGTAACGTTCAGTAATGCTATACCGTTTAAATCTAAAATACAATCGTGTCGAAAATAAATAACCACACACACAGACACACACATACACACATACACACACACACACACACACACACACACATATATATATATATATATATATATATATATATGAAAATTTCTTAGAGTTGACCTGTAGAAAAGACAATATTTTTAAATATAAATGACAATAGGAAAACTGTAATAGTTGCCGACCCGTTTCGTCCAATGTGGACTTTCTCAAAGCAAAATACGAAATGAATTTATTAAATAAAGTAACTAATAATAACAAAAAACAAAATGTCCTTAGCAACTGGAAGAATTTAGAGAACGCTATTTTCATACTGTTAACTGAAAATTACGTCATTTACTGTCACGTATGGAGATATTGTTTTTAATGCTGTGTCGGCGGATTCAACCATTTTCATTTGATTTCCCGATATTGTTGTGTACGTTTGTTCGGGAGAGAAGTAATGCTGTTAAGAAAGGTGAAATAGGGAAAAAGCCTGGGCGTAGATTATTATTTGCGTAATATTCAATGGCGTTCTCTAAATTCTTCCAGTTTCTAAGGACATTTTGTTTTTGTTATTATTAGTTACTTTGTTTAAATTCATTTCGTTTTTAGTTCCATTTCATCCTCAAGCGAATTTTACTTATATTTCATCCTCAAGCGAAAATTCGCTTGAAAATGAAATGGAATTAATGTCTTTAATTTAATTACAAAATTAAATTCAGAGCTTTTAGCTTCCATTTTTGAAACATGGTTAGAACTGTGTAGCGAAAAAAAACATATTTTAAATCAATTAATTTATAATATTAATGCTCTTTACATTGAGCACTATTTTGTAAAAATAAAAATATCTATAAGAACACCGGGTTATATATCTTACTGTTCTTTCTTTATATATATATCTATATATCTATATATATCTATCTATCTATCTATCTATCTATCTATATATATCTCTATATATATATATATATATATATATATATAAAGGAAAAATACAAGAGGAAAACTTTTACTTTAGCCGACGCATTTCGTCCAATGTGGACTTTTTCAAGGTAAGAAAACTAAAAACATTGGCCAATTGTTTTTTTTTTTATACATATTGTCTTTTTAAGTTTAAATTTTGAAATATATATATATATATATATATATATATATATATATATATATATATATATATATGTATGTATATATATATATGCATGCGTTTGTGGGTAATTCTTTTCAAATACACTTCTATTTTAGCATTGCCTAGGTAGAGCACACACATATTCTGAGCCTGTCTAGAATTAGGCATCTTGATTCCGTCATTTTTGATGGGTACTATCCTTATAATAAAATAATAGGAAAAGATAAATAACTTCAATACATACAAAAATAAAAGTAAATTTAAATTAATATTAAATAAAAATAAAATATAAATAACGTAAAAATAACGACATGAAAATTTTAAACACAAATTTTAAAGAATATGAATTTAAAAAAAGGTAACTGAAGAAAAAATATATGCAATAAAATCAAGACAATAAGAAATAGAAACAAAAAATAGAATAAAAAATGTCGAGTATGTTTACGAAATTGGGATATTTATGCTATTTACCCAGTGTTCCTTCCTCTTCCTGTCAACCTATTCCTTCCCACAATGCAGCATTACACGCCATTCATTGACAATGGCATTTCTTAGTGCATTGAGTATTGTTTGGACTTCGTGTTTATTCACGCAACACAAACAATCAGCCAAATGTCACTTTTTTGTTTTACCAGTATTTTCACTTGGAAAAGGTACCCCCGCCCCCGGCCGAAAAGTTCTCTTTGTCTTTAAGCCACGGGCTTTATGAATAATTGTAGCTAGGAAAAGAGGTTAAATTATTAACTATTATACAACAAGGCATCTATCTATCTATCTATCTATCTATCTATCTATCTATCTATCTCTCTCTATCTATCTATCTATCTATCTATCTATCTATCTATCTATCTATCTATCTATCTATCTATCTTGTTCATTATCTATCTATCTATCTATCTATCTATCTATCTATCTATCTATCTAACACTGGCTGTTCATTATCTATCTATCTATCTATCTATCTATCTATCTATCTATCTATCTATCTATCTATCTAACACTGGCTGTTCATTATCTATCTATCTATCTATCTATCTATCTATCTATCTAACACTGGCTGTTCATTATCTATCTATCTATCTATCTATCTATCTATCTATCTGTCTCGTCTCTGTTTCTATCTATCTATCTATCTATCTATCTATCTATCTATCTATCTATCTATCTATCTATCTATCATGGGCTGCTCATTATCCATCTATCTCTACAACGGGTTGTTCATATATTTCTATTTAAAATTTCTATAGGTACATTTGTGTTACACATACGCATATATATATATATATATATATATATATATATATATATATATATATATATATATATATATATAAGTTTAATCACTGAAATATTTGCATAAGTCTTATATATATATATATATATATATATATATATATATATATATATGTATGTATGTATGTATGTATATATATGTGTATGTTTCTGTCAATGTGTATTAAGTCTGTGTAAATCAACAAACTTTGAAAAGTATAGACTAAATACACATTAGCTAATGATTTTAATAAAGACTTCTGTAAATATTTGCATACATCTAAATCACTCGCACCTGCGGGTACAAACACACCCACATACATACATATTTTACTAATCCAACCCCAATTAAAAAAGCACATAACGTCGAAAGTGCTTCGAGTGCCTACTTATATCAATATTACCAACTATAAACACACGTCAAAAACATATTACATCACTAACCTTCACTGAATCGATTTTAGACGGCGAATCAATAAGTAATAAATCTACCAAATTTTGATCTGTAATTTTCACTCTATAATGTTTGATCTATGTAATTAATGCTTAAAAATAAATTAAGTGCTTTGACAAGGAAGATCACATTGAAAAATAAATATTTACTGTATAAACTCTACACAAGAACAAAACTGGCCATAAATTTGATTTTACTAATGCCAGTCTAATTAAAAAAGAACATAATTTTTTACGGAGGAAGAACTGCAAGATCCTAACAATATTACCAACTATAAACACCCGTCAAAAACATTGTATTATATCGTCAACATTTATTGCATCCATTCTTA